GCCTCCCACTTTCTTCTTTAACCTGCTCTCTTTGCCTGTGACCTGTTTGCCTTAGTTCCTTCTGTCTTCTTCAGGCTCTACCTGGCATCTGACCTCTCGCCACTAATGTGGCTTTTTTTTCTGCTGCTGGCCTTGGCTGGCTGGGGCAAGGGAGGAGGAACTCCTGCTCTATTTGGCAGAAGGAACATAGGCTGCAGATGAATTGCTTGCAGTATCTGCTATGGGTACCACTGAACACCCTGTCAGCATGAGCTCAGAGCACTGTCTTGAGGCCTACTCTTTGAAATAAATTGACTTTATTTCATCTTCATAAACATGTTTAAAACACAGGAAGAAAGGGTTGCCACTCATTTCACAAATGAGGAAACTGGATCGTGGAAGTTAAGTCAGAGTAACTGATTCCTAAAACTACTTCATGTCAGAATGAATAAAAGCATGGGTCTACTGAGATCTAAAATTATATAATAGAAACATAGCAAAGCTAAGAAGCAACGGATGGGAAAACCATCCCCAGCACGTCAACCAGAAAGGGTTGATAAGATCAGTGTGTTAGAAATCTCCATCACTAAATACTGCCTTCGCAGAAAAATGGGCAGCTAACTCCTTAAAGAGCCCACAACATGGCTAACACATACCATACAAACTAAAGCAAAGATTTAGAGAACCCGTGCTCCTATCTCGGCATTATTCCTCCTCTACTTCTCTTTTCGCATGGAAAAGTCTTCCTCTCACCCTGTAAGCTTGTTGTGTGGAAAGATGCTGGGGCTGTTGTTTATTCTTTTTATTTGTGCAGTGTTTACTCTCCTGTTTCTGTTGTTGTTGTTTGCAAACCTGCCTCTCCCACTGGTCCTTGTGATCGCGAGGGCTAATCCGTTTTCTCACACTCATTGAGAGGCCGCAGGTCCATGCTTAGATAATTGTAGTGTTTCATCTGTGTGCTGCAGAGATTGATTGGCTCAGGGCTAAGTCCAGGCCAAGCACAGTCTTCTCCAGACCGTTGCTGGACAGGCTGGAGAGAATGCTCTCTTTGAGACTCAGGAGACTGCTGAGACATTTGAGCCAGAGCTGCCAGAAGCTTCTTGCCAAGAGGCCCAGAAAACTTGCCTGATTGGAGCCACAGCCAGGAAGAGCCACATAAAGACAAAAGCTAATGGAGGGGGGGGGGGGGGGTGCTGTTTAAGCTCTTAGACAAACTTCTTAAAAGCTAGTTTTTAAAAGAACCCTCCCATAAACTTTCAGTCACACAAGTCAACAGATTCACAGATACATTCGTTTTGCTTAAAGCAGCTTAAGTTAGGTTCCTAGCAACGGCATTCAAATGACCTCTGAATTACAGAGAATTGAGTAAAAGAACAGGATTTCTCTCTCCTGTATACCTTTTTGACAAAAAAAAAAAAAAAATGATAGAGGCCTGTCTGCAACCACATTCCTCTCTTCAGAAGAAAAGCCTTGGTGCTTTCAGGAAAGCCCAGGAGTTCTCTGCAGCACTGGAGACTTCAAATCAAATCAACCACAGGGCCAACATTCAGACATGAGGTAATAAATCCCGCATTCAAGTTAGTTCCCAATGTCTCAGTCATTCAGCTGGTGTCATCTGCTAATTGCGTAAAGTTGAGCACATTAACATCTTGTTGATATTTATCCTGAAAAATTCTGAAGAATCTACAAAGACCAAATTTCTGCCCCCAGAGGTGTCAGACTTTATCACTGGAGTCTTGTCTTGAACTGGGCTCAAGTCATCCTTCCCCTCCTTCCCTTGTAGAACCCTCTAGCTTCATGTTAGCCCAATAGAAGATTATTCGTTTTACAAATCGCTGGATGTGCTTTTTCTTCTATTGCTGGTCCCAAAATAAAAAATGATCTCCAGAAATGGGCTGAGGCATGGAATGGTCGATTCAACATAGTTTGAAATAAAGTTCGACAAATGTAGATTGAAAACTATGGTCACAGGATGGCAGGTGGTTCATGGGTTAAAATCATTAGCTGTGTATACCTAATGACTGGAGTTTAATTCCCAGAAAATACACAAAGGGTCATATGTGCTGGCACCCATCTATAATCCCAATACTCCTTTGGCAATATGGAAGACGGAGCTAGAGATTTATCCAGAAGCTTGCAGACCAGATAGACTGAAATTTACAGTGAAGTTGTATAAATAAGAGAGCATTAAGAGGCTAGAAGGCAAGAAGTGTCTAGTTGTCCCACCTCTATTTCCTGCCTGGTTGTCTCACCTCTACTTCCTGCCTGGCTACTGACCAATCAGCATTTACTTAAAATACAAGTGGCAGGGTAGAGACCATTGTCCCACAGCACTTCACCCCCTTTTTTTAAACAAAAACTCTGAATCGAGTCTCCTTTGTTTAGCTTTTCTAATGACCATTATCCATAACAACTTGTAACCAACATGGTTAACAAAGGTAAACATCAATAATACATTTTTTTTGGAAGTGTGGGCATAGTTTTACAGGGTACTTTTTGCTGATTGGGGGCACTAAAGAACATTTAGAATTACAGTCAAATCCTGACTGGAAAATTCTGTGAGGCTTGATCATCTCAGCCAGCAGTCTTGAAACTGTTCTGGATGTAGAACTCGGAGGAAACTCCAACAGAGGTCCTCTGAAATGTTGGATCATCTGGACCATCTGCTCCCATCAGAGATTTCTCAGGGAGTCTTCCTTGATCAAACCTTATTTTTCTCAATCCATAATGAATCCACAGCCTCTCATTTCCTGTGGAAACATAAGCAAAACCTCTTCTCCAAAGTAACATACATTTTGACTTAAATTTCGAAGTCAAGCATTTTCAAAATATATATGCTGGATTAATCTAGCAGCATTTATAATCAAATGTCTTTTATCAGCTTTTGCTCCTTCCTCAGCCATCAAACAATTTAAATACAACACAATAACATACAGTATCCAGACTCTCTGTATATTTTCCATCTTTACGTGGCTTTATTTTAAACTCTATTTTTTTTAATTTTTATTTAAAATTTTTGGCTTTTTAAGGCTAGGTTTCCCTGTGTATCTTTGGCTGTCCTGGCACCACTCACTCTGTAGAGCAGGCTGTCCTTGAACTCATAGAGATCCACCTGCCACTGCCTTCCAAGTGTTGGGATTAAAGGTGTGTGCCATCACACCCAACTACTCTCTTTCTTCCTTTTCTATTTTAAGGACTTTATCCTTTTTCTTTTCTCTCCCAAGCTTATACATATATATTTAACACACTGTAAACCATTTACCATACAAGTCTTTAATTTGCTAAGCGATATGGCTAGGATTAAGGCTGTGGCTTTGAGGGCTGCATCCAGCCCATTTTTTAAGTTTTCTGAAATTCTAGCCTCATGGCAGAGGTACTGGCTGGAGCCATGTTTATTGCCACAACTCTATGGTGTTTCAAGGTCCCTGCCACCACCAAAAAGCATGCAGTCAGCTTTTCATCAACACCATTTAAGTGTTTCATGGAAGGGCCTCTTAAAAGAGTTGCAAGGTTTTGTAGCTAAAGCTGAGTCAGGAACCCTCTCTTAAATGAGAGTGCTTGCCTCTAGCTAACAGAGCCCACCTGAGAAAATGCTACCAAGAAGCCATGCTTAACTCTGTACTTTTTTTCTAGAATTATTTCCCAAGCTCTCTTGGGTTTTTAAGTGGATTTAGTCAGCCACACATTGGCACACCATTTGTTGACTGAGATTTCTGTCCTGCCAGGTCCCACAGCCATTTAGTCCCAAAGAAATACACAAAGGTCTACATTAATTATTAACTGATTGGCCTATTATCTCAGGCTCCTTATGAACTCTTATAAGTTATATTAGCCCATAATTCTTGCCTGTGTTAGCCATGTGGCTTGGTACCTTTTTCAGTGAGGCAGTCATATCTTGCTTGCTCTGTGTCTGGATGACAACTGCAGACTGAATCTTTCCACTTCCCAGAATTCTCCTGTTCTCCTTGCCATGTCTCTACCTCCTGCCTGGTTGTCCCACCTATACTTCCTGCCTGGCTACTGGTCAATCAGCATTTATTTAAAATACAAGTGACAGGGAACAGAACATTGTCCCACAGCAAGGATCCCTGAGAAAATATGAGAAAAAGGCCAAGTCCTGGGAAGACCACCTATAATCTCTGTTGATAGCTATCTCTGTCAAGGTTCAGGAGGTCTTCCTTGATCAAAGCTGGTCCATCTTAATGTAGAATTAATCTGTAGCCTCTTGTTTCCTATGGAAACAAAAGTAAAACTGCCTCTACAAGCAATGTGTCTTTTAAGTTCCATTTTACAAATATATTTTTTTTACTTTTTTAATTTTAATGCCTTAAAGAAAAAGCATTTTTAAAATATTTAGTTTGGTATTTTTTTTTCAGTCTCTCTTTCAATCCCGTGTCTCCCAGCAACTATCTCTTGTCCACCAGCCATCAAAAAATTCAAAATCAACACAATAACATATAGGATCCAGACTCCCTGTGTATTTTTCAATCTTTATGTGACTTTTTTCTTTTATATTACTTTTACTTTTTCTTTAAAGACCTTATTTTATTTTTAAAACTATTTATTACTTTATTTAACTGTCAATACCCATTTTCTTTCTTTCCTAAGATCACACACATTGTGAAATACATTGGAACCTGTTCAGAGGCTTTTCTGTATGGGCCTCTTTTTACTGTGTCTCCTTTAGCCTTCTTTGTCTGTGTGAGCAAAAGTTAAATTCACTATATAGAATGTTGTTTGGTTTGAAGACACTTCTGTGTACCAAGGTGGGAATTTGTCATACTATGCTCAAGTCCATATGCTTTAGAATCTCTGTATCGCAGCTCGCATGGGAGATACAGTTAGGAAGCTGTTTTTTGTGTTCTAAAACCCTTTTTTTAATTTAAACTTTTTTAGGCCCTGTGAAAATTTGAGAGCTTCATGTTGGTGTGCCATTTTAACTGGAAGGTTATTTGTTCTGCCCGATCCTACAGCTGCTTTTAAAATAACCACTCTGAGACTTAATATTAATTATAAATGTTTTACCATTGCCACAGACGCTGCTTAATGGCCCTGCCAGCGCTGCGGTGCTGCCTCCGCCCCACGGCTTGGGGAGCAGCAGAGGGCCCCCGACTCCAGCGCGCCTCCCGGTGCTCCCGGGGGGGGGGGGGGGCTGTCTCGGGGCTGCCCCGGGCGTGTCGGCCACTGTATCCTCCGCGCCGTCTTCGACCTCTTCGACGGTGGCAGAGGTGGGCGTGGGTGCTGGTGGCAAGAGGCCTGGTTCGGTATCGAGTACGGACCAGAAACGTGAGCTGAAGGAGAAGCAGCGCAACGCTGAGGCCTTGGCCGAGCTGAGCGAGAGCCTGCGCAACCGTGCGGAGGAGTGGGCCAGCAAGCCCAAGATGATCCGTGACACACTGCTCACGCTGGCTGGCTGCACGCCCTACGAGGTGCGCTTCAAGAAGGACCACTCGTTGCTGGGTCGTGTCTTTGCCTTCGACGCTGTCTCCAAGCCCGGCATGGACTACGAGCTAAAGCTGTTCATTGAGTATCCCACGGGCTCCGGCAACGTGTACTCCAGCGCGTCCGGGGTGGCCAAACAGATGTACCAGGATTGCATGAAACACTTTGGCCGTGGTCTGTCCTCTGGCTTCAAATACCTGGAGTACAAGAAGAAGCTTGGTTCAGGCGACTGGCGCCTACTTGGGGACCTGCTGCCTGAGGCTGTGCGCTTCTTCAAGGAGGGCGTGCCCGGCGCGGACGTGCTGCCCCAGCCCTATCTAGAGGCCAGCTGTCCCGTGTTACCCACTGCGCTGGTGAGTCTCAGCCCCCCCCCCCCCCCCCCCCAGTGCACCTCCAGGAACTGGAGCCTTGCCACCAGCGGCGCTCACGGGTCGGGGTGCAGCCTTCAGCTTGCGCAAAAGGAAGGCATCCCCGGAGCCTCCGGACTCAGCTGAAGGTGCACTGAAGCTTGGCGAGGAGCAGCAGAGGCAGCAGTGGATGACAAACCAGAGCGAGGCGCTGAAGCTCACTATGTCCGCGGGGGGCTTTGCGGCGCCAGGGCACGCAGCAGGGGGACCACCCCCACCCCCTCCACCTCTGGGACCTCATTCCAATCGGACCACCCCGCCAGAGTCAGCCCCCCAGAACGGTCCGTCCCCCATGGCCGCGCTCATGTCAGTGGCAGACACTCTGGGCACAGCGCATTCGCCCAAGGACTGCAGTTCAGTGCACTCTACCACTGCATCCGCTAGGCGAAATAGCAGCAGCCCGGTGTCGCCCGCCTCCGTGCCAGGGCAGCGTCGCCTGGCATCACGCAATGGGGACCTGAATTTACAGGTGGCGCCCCCGCCGCCTAGCGCCCACCCAGGCATGGACCAAGTGCACCCCCAAAACATTCCGGATTCCCCTATGGCCAACAGCGGACCCCTCTGCTGTACCATTTGCCACGAACGTTTGGAGGACACTCATTTCGTTCAGTGCCCGTCTGTCCCTAGCCACAAATTTTGTTTCCCTTGTTCTAGAGAGAGTATCAAAGCCCAGGGGGCTACAGGTGAGGTGTATTGCCCCAGCGGAGAGAAATGCCCCCTAGTCGGGTCTAATGTACCTTGGGCCTTCATGCAGGGCGAAATTGCAACTATCTTAGCTGGGGATGTTAAAGTGAAAAAAGAGAGAGACACTTGAACCGCAGGGCAGCGACCCCTTTGGCCCTAGATCACCTCCTCTTCAATCTGGAGGGCCCTCCCCCCACCTGCCTCCATTTCCCTTCCCACCAAGATGTAGAATTGTGAATATAACTGCAAAAAGTTAGTCTTAATAGACATTATTTTCGTCGTATGTTTCTATATTTTGAAACAGGTATATAACTTCTTCATTTGAAGGATAAGCTGGTTGTGTTAAGCAGTATAATATTGATTGGATCATTTGCATCGTATTCGTTAGCATTTATTTGGTGGCAGAATGTTTGCCTAGGTACAGCGTTAATAGCCCTTAGGAACAACTGCTGCCGGTGTGTATTTTTGTAAATGTTATGCACTCTGAAAGGAAAAGCACACAAAAGAAAAAGATTTTTTTTGTTTTTGTTTTGCCAAGGCCTGTGTTGCTGCCTAAAAAAAAAAGAAAGAAAAGAAAAGAAAAAAGAAAAAAAATGATGCTATAAAATGGTAAAAGCTTCTCTCTAAACAGCCCAAAGTGTTGAAGTCTTCACTTAATTTTGTTCTGTTCTGTTTTGTTTTCCTGTTTTGTTTGCAAAATAGTAAGGGGGTGTTGGGAGGGGATGGGTGTTTTTTGTTGCAAGTTTGTGAGGGGGAAAATGTTTCAGTTTGTTCTCCTGACCTGAATGTGTTGGATTCTCACGTGTCATTTTGTTTTGGCTTTATTGATGCACGGATGCTTTTGAACCGTAGAGCGAAAAGCTAGACATGGAGAACTTGCTATGTTTGTCCTTTATACATTTCTGTAGTTAACAGAACACTGTAATGTGCCTTGGAGCTTAGTAACTTGTAATAAATTCAATTGATAATTAAAAAATAAATAAATAAATATTTTACCAATGGCTCAGGCTTATTACTTTCTAGCTCTTACATCTTAAATTAACCCATATATATTAATTTATGCATTGCCATGTGCCCCCGTGGCTTACCAGTGCTCTGTCATGCTGCTCCTTGGGTGGCTGCTGGTATCTCCCAGACTCTGCCATTATTTTCCTGTATCTTGGATTTTCCACCTGGCTCTAACCTGCCTTGTCATACACAAAAGCAGCTTTATTTACCAACCAATGACATCAACACATATTTGTAGCCAGATGCTGCTCATTTGTTTCCTGGCCACCAAGACCCTAAATAATTACACAAAAAAATATATTAATCCCAATACTTTTTGGCCAATAGGTTAAGCGTATTTCTAGTTAACTCTTATATCTTAAATTAACCCATTTCTATCCATCTGTATATTGCCATGTGGTTGTGGCCTAAAACATATTCATAGCATACAGAGGGAAATTCTACATTACATATTCACAACAAATAGGGAGACATCCCATATCAAACCTCTACATGTATGCCTTGGAAAGTGTGCATGCACACACACACATACACACACACACACACACACACAAATTTTAAAAAGAATAACAAAAAGATTACAATAACAGATACCATCCCTGGCATGGATAAAAAATAGAATAAAATAAAATACAACATGATGCTGAGCAATTGAAGAAGTATAAAAAAGGAGAAAGATTTGGGATGGAAAGTTAGTTCAGTAGTTAAAAGAACGTGCTGATCTTATGGAGGACCCAAGTTCTAGCACACAAGTCAGGTGACTCACACCTGCCTGTGACTCCAGTTCTAGCGGACCCAACACTCTCTTCTGGCCTCTTTAGCATTGTATCACGCACACATGAACACACACACACATACACACACATGCAAATATATACCATAATAAAGATAAGTCTTTAAGAGGTTGGACCGATGGTTTAGCTGCTCTTCCAGAGGTCCTGGGGTCAATTCCCAGAACCCACATAGCAGCTCATATTTGTCTGTAACTCCAGTTCCAGGACTCCTCACACCCACACAGAGACACATATGCAGGCAAAACATCAGTGAACATAAAAATATATATTTAAAAATAAATAAATCTTTAAAAGAAAAGAAGGAAGAAAGTTTGATTGTCTGCTTGGAACTAGTGTTTTTGTGAATGGGGGCTCACATTTATAATCCAGCACTCAGGAGGCTGACTCAAGATTTCTTGGTTTGGGCTGCCAGCCTGGCCTATAGAGTGTACCCTTCTCAGAGAAAGACCCTCCTACTGAAATACAATTAATAAAGACTCAGATAAATTGGGGTTCAATCTGAGGACCAGAAAAGCAAAGCAACCAGCCAATGACTTATCTCAACCTCAGTTTGAAATGGTAATTCTGCCTCCAAGAATCTCAGAATGAGACCATGTTTGAGAGCTGTTTCCTCCCATCTTCTAATCCTCTCTAGGGCTGAAATTACAGGTGTGTACCACTGGGATTAAAGTCATGTGCCACCTGGTTTCTATGGCAACTAGTGCGGCTACTGGGATTAAAGGTGTGTGTCACCACTGCCTGGCTGTAAGGCTGACCAGTCAGGCTGTTTTACTCTCCCCATCCTCAGTCAAGCTTTATTTATTAAAGTACATTTGAAATGCCCCTACATTTCCCCTTTTTATCTAAAATAAAAAGACAGTTATAACTAATGTAAGAAAAAATTATACAATAAGTACAATAAATATATACAATATATACAGGTAAGTCTCATAAACAAAGAAAACTATAACTATCTAGTCTTCAACTCCCTCAGAGACCCAAGAAGGAAATAATATTAACTGAGTAAGCAGGAAGTGCAAGCAAGTAACTTCCAAAAAAATGTGAGTAATGGCAGAAACAGCTGGCTGCCTGGACAATCACCAAAGTTCCTCTGCAACACTGGGGCACCCATCTTCAGTCTACAGATCTAACACATCTGACAGACTTTTCTGTGAAGCAGCATATTTTGTGTCCTGCTTATGTAATTAGGACAGTATACTGTCAGAAGTCAAGACAGGGGCATTTTCTTACTTTTGCCACAAAGAAAGTAAACTCCATGTGGAGTTTCTTCTATGCTCATTATCTTCTCTGAAGAAAATTGATGCTGCCAGGAGCAGACATGTCTCATTATCATGAAAAAGAACATAGACTATTAAAACATCTTAAATGCCATATTCTGTATATTTCTGAAGTGTTTGAAGATGACTTGTCTATCTAAAATATACCTTTGTTTGATCTTGAAAACATACCTAATGTGACTACAAGTTGTATTAAAATAGGTGACTAATTACTAACCTGCATTATCTAATTATCCTAAATAGTTGGTGATAATAATTTTCAAAGACTAGAGATATGGATTACATTGTTAAATGAGCTATGTATAGGTACAATACCTTGAATGAGATTAGGAATGTTCTAATCTACATGGGAAGTAGAAAAAGGCAAGATATCCTGAGTAAACTGGGAGTATGGAAAGGGTAGAATGAGGGGCGGGGAAAAAAGGGGAATGGAGAAAAATATATAGCTCAATAAAAAAAAAAGAATTTCTATTAAAAAAATTTAAATACATTTTAAATAAATTTTTAATTAGAAAAGATTAGAAATATATGTAAAGGGTGTTATAAAAAATCTCAGACCTTTTAATCTTTTATCCTTTCATATCCACACCCTCCTCTTTTTTCCTTTTGTTTTTTTTTTTTGTTTGTTTGTTTTTTTGGTTTGGCTTGGTTTGGTTTGCCTGTGACAGCTTCTCAGTAGCTATGGAGCCAGTCCTGGAACTCACTATGTAGACTACTGGGATTAAAGGTGTGAGTTACCACTGCCTGTCTGTAAGGTTGACCAGTGTGGCTGTTTTACTCCCCCCATTTCCAGGCAAGCTTTATTTATTAAAATACATTTGAAATGCCACTACATGCCTACCTCAGGTTACAGGCTTGTGTAAATAACTTGACAACAATTTATTTACCTTTTATAGTCAGTTCATGTTCTAATTTTTCTGAGTAAGAAAAAACTGTTCTAATAAAGTATCTCACGCTGCTGCCTCGTATTGATTTACGTTGTTTGTCTCTGTCAGGTCCCAAAGAAACCCAGGAAAACAGCTTACTGAGGTGCTATTAGCATGCTAAAGCATATCCTGGCTTCTCTGCTGATTCTTCTCTCACATACACCCTCCCACTCTAAACCTCTCTGGCTCCTGAGTTTTCCTTCCCTTCTCCCAGCTTCTGATTCCCATAAAACCCAGCCACTTCAGGTACGGGCTTCCTTGGTCCTCTACTCTTGTCTCTTGTCCCTTCTCTTGCTCCTCTCTCTTCCACTCTTGCCCAATCCCCACCAACTCCTCTCATAGTCCAGTATTTTGCTGGCCATGTTCAATCTGTTACTTACTCTGCTCTGGACTCTTCCAGATGTCTGGCTGAACTTTCTTTCATATCTACAATAAAAACCATTCCTGTGGTGAGGAAACCCAGGAGGAGCATGTGTGAGCCTCCTTCCAAGGGGTTCAGTTTCTCTCCTAACCTAAACAAAGCTGCTGTCTGACTCTCCTAAGATATGTAAGGGTCATTTTTTTTCCTTCTGGCTTCTGTCACCCACCATATTTGACTCTAAATTCTGGAGATTACCTCCACAGCATCTTCTTTCCTCCACCTGCTCTAACGATCCATCTCTCCTCACCTGATATGGGATTCCCTTCTGTACACCGTGAATATCATTGGTGAATAAAGAAACTGCCTTGGCCTGTTGATAGGGCAGAACTTAGGTAGGAAGGGAAAACTAAACTGAATGCTGGGAGAAAAGAGGCAGAGACAGAGAAAAGTCATGCAGCCCTGCCGGAGACAGATGTCAGAAGTTTACCTCATAACCCACTGCCAACATGGCGATACACAGATGAATGGAAATGGATTAAATTAAATTGTAAGAGTTAGCCAATAAGAAGGTAGAGCTAATAGACCAAGCAGTGATTTAATTAATACAGTTTCTGTGTGATTATTTCGGGTCTGGGCTTCCAAGCAGAAAGGAACCAACAGCAGCCCTTCTTGCAACACTCACCTACTTGAATAGTATCTCTCTGGCTCCTGCAGTCTGCTGTACCCTCGTGGGCACATCCCTGCAAAGACAATTGCTACTCTCTCTATTGGAACTCTCCTTTTTTCCGAAATCTCTCCCAGTCCACCTCTTCAGCTGTTGCCTCCTCTGCCTGCTGAAACCACTCCTCTTGCCTCCTCTACTGAGTTAGTGTCCCTCTGGAGCTGCCTGCTTTGTCTGCGATTACCAAAGCCACAGTAGTGTACCAAGACGTTCCTTTCAGCCCACTGGACTGCTATCCCATAAAAAAGGATGCCGCTCCTCTGTGATTTGGGACATTTCTCTCTGACAAGTCTCTCAGTCTACATGGGGATGTCCCGGGTTGAAATTCTTGTCAACACAACAATTAATCTCTGTTGCTCCCTCTGTTTCCAGATTCTTCCTCGGGCTTCCTTGCCTCTCTAGGAGCTGCTGTCCTCTGGTTTCTCCATGCTCTCCTGGAATATCCTGCAGCTCTTTCCTTATCTCCCCATCAGAGCTGCCTGCCCTGTCTCTCCTCATGCCTTCCTGTGCCTATATGGTAATATTGCCATATGACCCTTCTCCCTCATGGCTACTCTCTTCTCTGTCTCTCAGTTCCCTTGGAGCTTATTGGAACTCTCTCTCCAGAGGAGTTCCTGTCTGCAACCCTTTATCTTTTCCTTCTCAGACTCAGTTTCCTTCTCAGAATCAGTGATTTCATGAAAGTCTCCCTGTCTTATGACAAAAGGCTTGCCTTCAGAACAGCTTGGTGGCCAACGATGGCACACTCGGTTCAGATTCTCTCACATGGTAACAACCTCTAGCACTTCCCAAACAAATGATCATAGAATCTCTTAAACCTAAATTTTTTCTGCTCTAAATCTTCAAAATTCTCTTATCTCTAAGACTTTTCTACTTTGCACTCTTAAAACCTTTTATCTCTATTATTTCTTTGCTCTCTGCTCTCGGAAAGGTTTTTTTTCCCTTAAGACTATGCTGTGAACTATCTTAGTATTTGTAAGTTTATTGACTATGGTTAAAAATTTGTAAAATCTGTAACCAAAAGTTAGCTTAAAACTTGTAACAAAGGGCTGATAGTTAAAAAATCTATGCATATGTAATCTTATTTAGAAAGATAGATCGACTAACTGTGTGTATAATTTGAATTCAATTCTTGTTTAGGAAATAGATGTTTTTAAGCAGCAACCATGTGACTGGCATCCATCTTAACAAAGGTAGGAGAATACATGAAATGTAACCTTAGCACTATCTTGACTAATATGACCATGTGGTATAAACAAACTAATGTAACATTTATACAACTTCTTAGTTCTACTGAGCTCTGTGCTTGTAAGCGTATCTCCTTTTAGACTAAGGAGGCAACACCAGGTCTCCAAAAATATTTTGGATTAGATAGATTTTTGTATGATGATAAATTCCTAAAGTTATAAAGGTATACTGCTAGTAGAAATTGACTTAGAGATGTATGTCTAACTACCTACGTCTTTGCTAACTGCTCAACACCAAGCTTCTAAAAATGTTTAGATAAAAAGTATATGTAGGGGAAGCCCCAGCCAATCACCTTGCTTGTAGGGCGGGGTCCCCTGAGGATATTTTTTACTTATAAATATTGCGGTGTGCTCCCCGCCTTCCCTTCTGCTTTCCTGTTCTCTGCAGGAACCTCGGTTCTGTAAGTCTTTTCCTTATTAAAGCTGAATATTTTATTATAATTTCTGTCTGCTGTTCATTTACGCCATAACATTTTGGCGCCCAGCGTGGGGCCATTTTTGACAACACTCTGGCTGGACCTTCTCAAAACGCTCAGAGGCTAGTTACAATTTTCTTAGGTCAAAGGTTAATTTGGGAATTTTTTTTTTTTTTTTTTTTTTTGGTTTTTTGAGACAGGGTTTCTCCTTAGCTTTGGTGCCTGTCCTGGAACTAGCTCTTGTAGACAAGGCTGGTCTCAAACTCACAGAGATCCGCCTGCCTCTGCCTCCCAAGTGCTGGGATTAAAGGCGTGCGCCACCACCACCCAGCAATTTGGGAATTTTACCATCATTTGCTTTCACAGGACCCCCTAAGAAGAACGCCGCCCCCATGTCAGCTGGAAGCAATCTTAGAGGACAACGTCCCCTCTCCCAACAGAGTTTGCCCTCAGGGTTAGGGACATCATTTAGTGGTTGGTATAGGGTTGAGGGGGTGGGGGAGATATTTTATGTAATTAGGGGTACTTTCAAAAAAAGGGAGGATTAACTGGTTTGATGGGATGATTGGTATTTGTGAATTACCGTTTTTAGAAAATTGTATTGGTATTGTTTCTTGTATATTGATATATTTAATATTAAATATGAGTGCTCCTACCTCTATTTTTTTGTATAAGAGTATGCTTATAACTTTGTCTATATTGTATTGATACATTTACCATATTACAATGTACATTTCTACCTCTGATATTATTTATATAATAACATTGTTTACATTTGATATGTAATGACATTGTTTACAGTTGGAGATCATTGTTTTCATATATTGCACAGTTGTTTATTCTCTTAGTCTTCAAGTTATATAGGTATCGAGAATTATATGTTTGTCATATTTATTTTTAGGATAATAAGGTTTTTTAGATACATAGAGATTATATTTAGTATAGATAGTATAATCTTCAGCCTCTTCGAAGAGCTGTAGAAAATGGCCTTTAATCTAACCTTGAATTCTGTGCCAACGAGAGACAATCATTCCTGACAACACCACTCTACTCCCGAGAGAACGTTGAGCACCACACTCCACTGGGAGCTTGTCTTCTTGGCAAAACTGGCCTTTGGGTTAAAAAAGCCCATACCGGGACTACTGACAAAGATACAAAATATCCATAAGTGGATAAAACAGGATTGTCTTATCTTGCCAAGACAGGGTTGGATAGTTCTAAGAAAGTTCCTTGCCTTTAATAATGGTCTGTCAGTTATATTAGACCTTAGCCAAAGTTGGTTGACTCAACATTGCAAATGAGACTTTGGGTGATTGCCCAGGTAGTCAGTTGTCTCTGTCATTTGTTGCACATTTTGGATATTTCTCGTTTGTTAAGTAATATTACTTCCCTTCTCAGATCTTTGACAGAGTTGAAGATTAGATAATTGTAGTTACTCTCTACGTTATTTAGACTCCTTGAAATAGAATGTTTAGTATATTTATTATTTGTTCCTATTGTATATAGTTGTGTTTGGTTTGCTCTATCTTATTTAGACAAAAGGGGGAGATGTAGGGGAAGCCCCAGCCAATCACCTTGCTTGTAGGGCGGGGTCCCCTGAGGATATTTTTTACTTATAAATATTGCGGGTGTGCTCCCCGCCTTGAACCACTTCTCATGGGTCAAATGGATTCCAAACAAGCAATCCTATCAATGAACAGCCTAAGCTTCCCTGCCTAGTCTCTATTGCTGAGAAAGGGGCCCGCCTCCTCCCTCACCTCTGGTGTACCCCCTCCTCTCTCCATTCCTGGAACTGGCCAACATTCCAGCCTTCCTGGACCCCTGCCAATGACTCTCTAAATTTTATTTATTTATTTGTTTGTTTGTTTGTTTGTTTATTTATTGGGTTTTTTTTTCAAGACAGGGTTTCTCTGTGTAGCTCTGGCTGTCTCTGAACTTGCTCTGTAGACCAGGCTGGCCTCAAACTCAAGGAGATCCTCCTGCCTCTGCCTCCCAAGTACTGGGATTAAAGGCATGTGCCACCACATCTGACTGAAGAAATATTCTTAATAGAATAAAATCCTTAGATTGGAAAATATTAACAAACTCATTAACAATAGGCTAACATTAAATATAGACACACCGTTAATTAATCAAGATCCTGGCTTAGATGAATTTCCCATATTCACAGCCCATGATCGGCTTTTAGCAGCTTCTCAGCTCCGTTCAGTAACGAAACTAAATGCTAGGAAGTCAAGATAAAAAAACAAAAACTAGTTATTTGCTACATGTTCATGATATGATGGTACCAGGAGCTGTCTTAATTATTAAATCCGCATCACCCTAAGGCAACAGTTCTCAACCTGAGGCCCTTGAACTCTTTGGGGATTGAGTAATACTTTCATAGGAGTGACATATCAGATATCCTATATAGCATATATTTACATTATGATTCATAATGGTAACAAAATTACAGGTAAGAAGTAGCAACGAAATAATTTTATGGCTGGGGTCATCCCAAGATGAGGAACTATGAAAGGAGCTCAGCATCCCAGTCTCCAAGGCCCTTTCTTGTGACTGGATACGAATGACAGGAAGTGGGTAGAGTAAAACAAGATAAGAATGCTCCAACCACTCCTCAGCAAAAGTTTGCCGACTCACACAGAATATTCATTTCATAGCGACTAATACTACAAGATGGTTGGGAAGCAGTCAGACTTCTTTCTTCAGTCACCGTGACTATTAGTTGTACTGTCCGCATGCCATAAGAGAAACATCAGCTCTGTATCACTTGTGAGTAAGACATAGACTGGCTACTAAGATTCACATGGACTCCGTGGAAAGCTGCCCCTAACTAGAGCACACTCTCCAGGCTCTGGCATATGCAAGGATAGAAACCTTTCTTGTATTTTGAGAAAGGGCGACCTTTGTTCATCTGGTCAGCCTTTTGCCTAGATGGTAGGATTTAAGTTCTATTTTAAGTTATGTCTGCCCCGGCCTCTAGGAAACCATGAGAATATAATGTCCAGACTGTGCCTTTGCAGTGACCCAGGCTAGAGCCGGATTCTAGGACAGTGACGCCTGTACCAACTTCTTGTCACTTGTTTGTAGAGGAAGTTGTTCCCCATACTTCATGTTTGGGCTTTTTTGGTTCTTCTAGAGTAACTATTCTTTCCTATCTTCTGTATTTTCATGATTCCTCCAACCATGGCTGTTCTCAATAAACCAAGGCTTGACTTCTCTTGAATGCACTAACCCACTAGGACTTGTCTCCATCTGACATTCTAACTCAGTAATGAGATTAGACTCTTTCCAAGTCACCAATAAGATGGGATTAAACTTAGAAAGGTTTGTGATCCTGACAGTTCCAGCAGAATGGACAAAGCTTCCCAGGGCTTCCTGTGGCTGTCGTCTGTCAAATACTTACTGTGCAGCCCTTAGCGGAGACACCACGAGCAAGCTAACTCCTCTCTGGGTTGTGGAAAAACACTAACATTTATGTACGCTTTTAACAATAACAAGTCCTATTGCTGAGAAGACACAGTAACTGTTCTTATGACAGTACATCATGAGATCTCTTGTTCCCTCAGAAATGTCTTAGTGAATGCTCTCTTTCTGTGATGACAAAGGCAACTTATAAAAAAAGACATTTATTTATAGCTTGCTTACAGTTTCAGAGGTTTAGTCCATTATCTGAAGCACACAGACAGATATGGTGCGGGAGAAGGAGCTGAGTTTTACAACTGGATCCACAGGCAGAAGGAAGCAGAAAGGACCTGGTTAGAGCATCTGAAACCCCAGAGTTCACCCCCAGGGACACACATCTTCCAACAAGGCCACATCTCCCATTCACTGTCAAGTAGTGCCACTTGCTAATGGCCAAGCATTCAAATACATGAGCTCATGGGGGCCATTCGTATTCAAACCTCCACAGTGAGGATTGCTTAGCAGCCTACCTATGAACTTGAGTTTTGCCTATAAGACTATGAATATCAACCCACAACTCAACTACTATAAGTTTGTTAGTATCAGACAATTTGCAATAGACTTAGGTTGCAAACTAACAATTTTGAAGAAATGAAAGGTTATGAAAATGCAGGAAAATCAAGCTCAAGACCTATTGGGAGAGAGTCATCCTGCTTTAATAAAAAGAACTTTGATTATAAAAGAACTCACATATGTACAAAGTAAGTATTGTGACACTAAATAGAATCACTAAAAATAGATATCTATTGTAAAATTCATATGTATCATCAGTGTGATGGTTAATCTTGATTGTCAACTTTAGACAAATTAGATTTAGAATTACCATGAAAATGAATATCATAGAATACACATCATCTTTGGTAGACTGGGTAAGAATGGTCCCCATAGGGTCATATATTTGAGTGTTTAGTTCTCAGTAGGTAAACTATTGGGAAAGATTGGGTGGTGTGTCCTTTTTGAAGGAGATAAATCACTGGAGGTGGGCTTTGAGATTTCAAAAGCCCATGTCATTCCCCCAATTAGCTCTCCCCACCTACAGCCTGTAGATCAGAATGTAAAGCCCTCAGCTACTTCTCCATGACTATGCCTACCTTTGTGCCAATATTCTCCATGCCACGATAATAATGGACTAACCCTTTGAGACTGCAAGCAAACCCCCAATCAAATGCTTTCCTATGTATAAATTGTCTCAGTCACGGTGTCCAATCACAACAGAGCAGTGAATAATACACCCATAGCAATCTCTCTCCCAAGAGTAGGAAAAAATAACACAATGGCGTCAGGTAGCTGAAGAGGTGGCTCAGTGGTTAAGAGGCCTTGCTGCTCTTGGAAATGAACTGTGTTCTATTTGCAGTACCCATGTGGTGGCTCAACAGTTTGCAACTCCAATTCCAGAATATCTGATGCCACTGTGGGCACCAGGCACTCACATGGCGCACCGTCATACGTGCAAACAAAACACTTACACACATAAAATATACAGACCTTTTTAAAAGTTATCTCAGCACTCAGAAGGCAGAGGCAGGTGAATCTCTGTCATTTAGAGGCCCTCCTTGCCTACACAGTGAGATTCAAGCTAACCAGGACTACATAGTAAAACCTTGTCTCCAAAATAAAATTTTAACATATCAGATAGAAAATTAAATATTATTATTTTGAATTTGAGTGTTACTTATGACTTGCTGGAGATCAAAGCTAGGGCCTCACTTATACTAAGCAAGTACCTCTTCCATGATCTACACAGAGAAAAATATAAATGTATTAAAAAATTAACTGAAATTGATTAGGTTGTATCAGTTTTGTACACACATGCATATCCATACAACCTACATTATTGAAAGTCTGACTTCTGTCTATGCCTTTCCACCTTGAATACATACAATTTCTTAAAACTTAGTTTTTGTAAATGTAATCCTTACTTGATAATTGTTCTTATTGTATATATTTTACTATGTTGGGGTTAAAACCTCTCCTTTTTGTTTAGATGAAAATGGGGAAATGTTGCGGAATAATCTTTTTGTACACTGTGAACATGTGTTACTCTGGTTTAATAAAAGGCTCAATAGTAAATGGCTAAGCAGAATTTTTCAGAGCAGAGAGAACACTAGGAAGAAGAAGGATGGAGCTGTGATGAGACACCAGAAAGCAAAAAGCATGGGATTTTTAAATTAAAGGTTATTGAGCCCTGTAAACATCATAGAGTAAAAGATGTGGGTTAATTTAAGTTATAAACATTAGTTAGAAACAAGCCTAAGCTATTGGCCAACCTCCCCAGTCATTAAGTCGTGAAGGGGCTGCAGAAAAATCTAACTACAGATGACCTGAGTTTAATTCATGAATTCACATGACGGAAGTAGAGAACTGTTTACCACAAGTTGTTTTATGAGTTCTATATCCACTAGTTTTTGCACTTGGGAACACACATATAGAAACATGGGTGTGCCTGGAGAAAAGACAGCACCTTCAACAAATGGATGTCTACATGTAGAAGAATGCAAATATATCCATACTTATCACCCTGCACAAAGTTTAACTTCAAAAGGATCAAAACTTCAACATACAACCAGACACACTGAACCTGAGAGAAGAGAAAATGGGAAACAGCCTTGAACTCATTGGCACTGGAGACTTCCTGAACAGAACATGGATAGCACAAAAACTAAGATAAACAATTAATAAATGGTACTTTATGAAACTGAAAAGCTTCTGCAAGGTAAAGGGTACTGTAATTTGGAAAAGGCAGCAGCCTACAGAATGGGAAAAATTTTTCCAACTGTACACCTGATAGAGGACTAATATCCAAAATATATAAAGAACTCTAGAAACTAGCTATCAAAAAATTGCAAATAATCCAATTTTAAAATGGGGTACATCTCTAAAAGGAATTCTCAATAGAGGAAGCTCAAATGGCTGAGAAACAAAGAAATGTTCAACATTCTTAGATACCAGGGAAATACAAATCAAAACTACTTTGAGATTCAGTCATATACCTATCAGGATGGCTAAGATCAGTTAACACAAATGACAGCTCATGATGGTGAAGATATGGTATAAAGGAAACACTCATGCTTTGCTAGAGTGCAAACTCATGCAACCACTATGGAAATCCATATCATGGTTCCTCAGAAGGTTGTGAACCCACCTTCCTCAAGATTCAGTAATACCACTCTTGGGCAAAGGATGCCCCATCCTACCACAGAACACTTGCTCAACTATGTTCATTGATGATTTATTTGTAATAGCCAGAAACTGTAAACAACCTACCTGTCCCTCAACTGAGGAATGGCTAAAGAAATTGTGGTACATTGAGGGGTATTTGAGGCATGATATGGAAACCTAGTGCAGTGGAAACTTTTTAAAATATATGAAGGCAATCCTAATGAGGTTTCCCAATAATGATAGATACAAAGTCTGAACTGGCCATCTTTTGTTACCAAATGAGGCTTCTAGTAGCAGGACTGGGTTGCATTTAATTGAGTTGTTGGCCAAGAGAGTTCCCATGGAAATCCACCAAACAATCCAGGCTGTTGCTTAAACAATGAGTTGCTGTCTGCAAAGGGACATTAGTGATCCATTAATGAGGGTAACACCCACACAACTCATTGAACATGGAGAAGTTGAACTGGTGCCTACATATAGCCTTCACCTCTATTGTCTTAGGGTTTTTTATCACTATGACAAAACACCACAACCAAAAAGCAAGTTGGGGAGGAAAGGGTTTATTTGGCTTACACTTCCACATTGCTGTTCATCACTGAAGGAAGTCAGGACAGGAACTCAAACAGGGCAGGAACCTGGAGGCAGGAGCTGATGCAGAGGCCATAAGGGGTGCTGCTTGCTGCCTTGCTTCTCATGGTTTGCTCAGTCCCCTTTCTTATAGAACCCAGGACCAGTAACCCAGGTATGGCACTGCCCAATATGGGCTGAGCCCTCCTCCATTGATTGCTAATTTAGAAAAGGCTTTACAGCGGATCTCATGGAGACATTTCCGCAACTGTGGTTCCTTCCTCTCTGATAACTCTCGCTTGTGTCAAGTTGACACACAAAACCAGATAATATGTTTTAGTTCTTTTGATGCAGGAAGATACTCTGTAGGCTACCAAAGGAGAACTATAAATAACAATACAGCCACAAAACTTTGGCCTACAATCTGCCCCCTCCCTGCAAGATATGCTGGGGCAATGGTGACACAGAACTGGTGAGAGCAGCTAACCCCTTCTGTCTTATTTGGCTTATGGTAAACTCTATGAGACGGAGCCCATATCAACACTGAATGACTGACCTTTTTCCAGAGACTAGACACTCAGAAACCTAGGGCAAAACCAAATACTACTGGTCTTTTAAAAATAGTATCAATAAAATTATTTCTAATGAAGTCTGTTATATCCATAGATCGGTGCCTTATTCAGTCACCATCAGAGAAGCTTCCTCCTTCAGCAGTTGGAATAGATGTAGAAACACACAACTAATATTGCTCAGAGAGTCCTTGGAACACACAGCTTTACATGGGACATCTCCATCAAATCTTCCTCAACCCAGAGATCAGAGAACCATGCAGAATGGGCAGAAAGTGGGTAAGAGTCAGAGGGGATGGAGGACATCAGGAGAACAAGGTCCTCTGAATTAACATGAGCTAAGTTCATATGAATTCCCAGAGTCTAAAGCAGTAAGCACAGGACTTACACAGGTCTGCATCAGGTCCTCTATGCATATACTGTAGCTTTCAGCTTAGTATGCTTTATGAGACTGCTGAGTGTGTGAACCAGTAGGTCTCTGACTCTTGTGTTTGCTCTTGGTACTCTTTTACCTCTGTTGGTTTGCTTCGTCCAAACTGTCAAGTGATGGCTTTCGTTTTGTCTCACTATTATTTTGTCATAATTGGTTGTTATCTCTTAGAAGCCTGTTCTTTCCTTTTGTGGGTGGGCTTTTGAGACAGGGTTTCTCTGTAGCTTTGGAGCCTGTCCTGGAACTTGCCCTGTAGATCAGGCTGACTTCAGACTCACACAGATCCAGCTGTCTCTGCCTCCTGAGTACTGAGATTAAAGGCGTGCACCCTCACCACCTGACAAACCTGTTCTTTTCTAATGAGAGAGAGAGAGAAAGAGAGTGGATCTGGAGGGAAGGAGAGATGGGGAGGAACTACAAGAAGCAGAGGAAAGGGAAACTATAATCAGCAAAAATTTCATGAGAATCTATCTTCAATAAAAGGGAAAAAATTTTAAAAAGAAAACATGAGTGTACACATGGACATACACACAAGTGTAATTTTTATAACTAAAATTTTAGTCAGGAATGGTGAAGTATGCCTTTAATCCTACCAATGGGAGACAGAGGCAATCCAATCCCTGTTGAGTACAAGCCCAGCCTGGTTGGTCTATGTAATGAGTTTCAGGCTAGGAAGAGCTACATAGTGAGACCTTGTCTCTAAACATCAACAAGCTGGGCATGATGGCACATACCTTTAATCCCAGTATTTGAGAGTCGGAGGCGGGCAGATCTCTGCCTGTGTGAGTGTGTGCTGTGTTCAGATGCCTATGGAGGCCAGATTGCCTGGGGCTGGAGAACAGATAATCAAGAGTTGCCTAGCGTGGGTACTGGGAACCAAAATCAGGTCTTCTGAAAGAGAAGCAAGCACTCAACTGCTGAGCCATCTTTCCAGCCCAGTTAATTAACTTATTTGTTTAATTTTTTTCTTTTTACATACCAACAGCAGTTCCCCCTCCCTCCACTCCTCTGTCTTCCCCGCCCCCTATAACCCATCCTCTATCCATTCCTCTAAAAGGATAAGACCTTCCATGGGGAGTCAACAAAGTCTGGCACATTAAGTTGGAATAGTTGGCTTGTTTATATATATGAGAAATTCAAAACTCTACTGACTCTCCTTTGATCTCACTTCTCTGTGGACTGTGCTTGGACATACTGTGGTGCTGACCATCCAATACCAGTCATGCCTAAGGCTGGCAGTGGCATGCACAGCTAAAGAGAATCCCAAATTAAAATTGAGCTGCTGCTGGGCTTGGCTTCACACGCCTTCAATCCTAGCACCTGGGAAACAGGCTCCTCTTTGTGAGTTTGAGGCCAGTCTGGTCTAGTGAGCTCTAGGGCAGCCAGAACTACATAGAGAAGCCCTGTGTCAAAATAAATAGAAAAATAAAATAAGTCCGAGTTGTGTTCCAACTTTGGCAACTCCATGAACATTCTTTTTCTTTTTTCACACACACACCCAAACATATATATATATATATATATATATATATATATATATATATACATATATATTCCCTTTTCAGACAAATACAACCCATGTTAATGGATAAATGCACAAATGTCAACGTCTTTGCATATAGTATCCATTGAATTATATTACTAACTGCCATCATTTGCTTTCTATTGCTGTGATGAACATCATGACCAAAAGGGGATAACATGGTTTATTTCATCTTACAGCTTACAGTCTGTCATTAGGAGAAACCAAGGCAATAGCTCAAATAGAGCAGGAACCTGGGGGCAAAAACTGATGCAGAGGTCATGAAGGAACAATGCTTACTGACTTATTCCCCATAGCTTGCTAAGTCTTCTATCTTACACAATCCAGGACCGTCTGGCCCAGGGGTGACTGAACCCTCTCATATCAATCAAAAAAAAATGTCTAAAATGCTAATCTTATAGAGGCATTGCCTCAGTTGAGATTCCCTCTAGCCAGATGATCTGAGCTTGGGTCAAGTTCACACACATACAAAACACAAACAAATCCAGCTAACCAGCATGTTGCCTTAGCAATAATTGTCACTTGAAGTTTAGTACAGTTAGTGGTTACCAAGGAGACAGAAACAGGGTGATAGGTTGGGTCAAGGAGTCTGAGACTAGTTGGGGACAACTCTACCTCTGAATTTGAAAGTAAACAAATAAACAAGTCAAGTTTGGGTCTAGTCCATCAATTTCCCAAGTGTAACTCAGTATTAAAATGGTAGAGCATATAATAAACATATATAAGCCCCTGTCTTTAATTCCCAGCACAGATGCTCATGAGTGCACAGACACACTAAGACTGAGACAGAATTAGTTCCATTTTGCGTTATGCACTACCAAAACATCACCATCCCCCCCCGCTTGTTGTAAGCAGTTTGTCAATGTCCCTGACAAGCTTGAGAGATAGTCCCAGCCCCCAGCACGTTCCATCTACCATTATCTAGTCAACTACTTTAACTGTACCTTCCTGAACCTTGCCTCTTCCCCTTTGTTCTGATTAGCCAGTCATGTCAGATTGCAAAGTCAAGCTCCCACCAGTAGAATAAGATGCAGTCACCATCCCACTATGTCAGGAATAAAAGACAGAGGCTATTTTTGCCAGGTGTGCTTTGTCTGGGTTCTAATGAACCCTTTTAACAGAAAGAAATCACATTGCAGAATTACTTTCACCTTGTTTATGTGTTCTTTTGTGAACCACTACATACTTATTAATCACAACTAACCAAGGCCTTGCTTGAGATGCTTTATAAATACAACAGGAAACAATAAAATCTTCCTTTAGTATAAACAAAATAAGGGCATTTGTAACAAGGACACACAGGCATCTCACACTACTGAAGTTAAGAGCTTTAAGATTTAAAGACTAAAATCTGTGAAAACCCAAGAGATTTTATTTGGACTCACCCTCTACTTCTCTTTCTGCAGGACAATTGTCTCTTTTCTGTCTTCAGCAGAGGGAAGCCATGGTCATCTCCAAGTAAAGTCTTCTGTCTATACTGACTTCCTTTGAGATTTTGCTTTCTTAATCCTTAGAGAGAGAAAAGGCTCATTGACTAAACCATAAGATTGCTTGAGACCAGACATAGGCAGTCTGCTGCTTTAAACCATCCCAAGGTATTCAAGTAAATATGTATTTACTAGTTCTTGGAGGTTAGAAAGATGTGCCAAATGATACCTACCACAAATAGGGACAGGAGTACACAAATACAGTTCTTCCCTCACGTGCAACAAAATAACAAATCATTCCTTCTCTTCCAGGATGAAGTAGCTGGAGGATCAGAGCAAATTATAAGACATTAAACCAGTTCCTCTCCATTTATAAGTAAGAGTAAGTTGCGCTATCTTATCAATAATTCATTTGACTGGATTTCTCTGTCAAATACACAGTAAAGCCAGGCACAATGGGGCTTAACTAGAATCCCAACACTGAGGAGAATCAAGGTTACATAAAATGTTTGAGGCCAGCTAGGACTATACCAGATCTTGTCTCAACAAACAAAGAGCAACAGAATACACTATAGGGTTTCATACAAAACAGTGTGCTTACTCTTGATATTTTGCTTAAATCCTTTCAGTTATACAAATACAGCTAAAAAATATTTGGTACTTTAAGATAACAAAAAACACTTAAGCAACTTATGCCTCTAGTCTTCATATCTTTTAATTTTTTAATTTTTTATAATTTTATGATATTTATTTATTATTTCAGAGGATAACCTATGGAAGTGGGCTTTCTCCTTCTACCATGTGTGTCCCAGGGATTGAACTCAGATAATCAGGTTTGGCAGTGCATTCCTTTACCCACTGAGCCATCTTTCCAGTCCTGTTTTTGGTTTTTATTTTTTGAAGTAACCCAGTCAGGCCTGAAAGTGACTGTAGCCCAGAATGGCCCGAGACAAGTAGCGATCCCCTTACCTTAGCCTCCTGAAGGCTGGGATTGAAGTCATATCTACCATGAGCTTTATATGGGAGTGGCAAACAACTCTCTGCAGCCTCCCACACCATCCGTTGACTTGTCAGGCGCTACTATCTCCTGAGGACTTGCTGGACCACGGCATGGACACTTCCAGATATAAATCCAAAGCTGAGATATCTAGGAAGGATTTCAGGAAGGTCATCCCAGGCTTTTCCCTGAGTGGTGACTAGTCTGCGAGAGCTCTAGGATTGCCTTTCACCCCAAAATAGATAACAATTCATGCTAAGCGGGCCTTTCTATAAATATATCCCCTCGATCTCTTCTTTGCACAGTGTCTGCTAAACTTAGCCACAGATGCCGAAGTTACATTTTTCACCATAAATGGTGCTAAGCAAAGGTATTCTGAAGAGGGGAATACACTAGGCAAGAAAGAAATAAATTCTAGTTTTATGTTTGATATCTCTCTGACCTTGGATAACTTATTTCAGCTTCTTGTACTGAAAATATACCATGATTTCACATCCTGTCAGAATACAAAAGTGAGAAAATTGAACAGATATAAAAATTGCCATCGTGATTAAAACTGTCATTCTGACAGCGGTCTGCTTATAGGAACACAGGTCTTATTTCTCCTATTTCTGGCCTCCTCTAGAGCCCTAAGTAAGTAACACCTGCACTTCTATAATGCCCCAGAACCCTTAATGTTTTCTGTGATTTATATAGCAAAGTTTACCACCTAAGAAGACAGAGGATTAAGATGATATGCTAAATTATTTGCCCAAATATATATAATTCATAGCAACAATAGAAATGGAGGAGTGAGACAAGGCTCAAGAATCCCAGCCTGGCCTCAAACTTGAACTCCAGCTCATCCTGCCTCTACCTGCCAAGTGCTGAAATGACTGACATTTTATTTTATTTTCATTTGTTTAGTTTTAAGAGACGCTCTCATTTCATACCCCAGGCTTTCCCTGGGCTTCACTATGCAGCCCAGGCTGTCCTCAAAATCACTGTGATCCTCCTACTTCAACCTTGAAAAAACTAGATAGGATTTGAAATTCAAATTCAAAACCTACCTTCTGACTTGGCATCCAGCTTACTGCATTAGCAAACCCCTGATGTTTAAAAAGGCTCCTAATACAGTTCCTTATTTTAAAGATTTATTTATATGTCTGTGTATCTGTGTGCATACATGTGGCCAGAGGAGAGTTCCAGATCCCATGGAGCTGGGGTTACAGGTGGTTGTGTGCTGGGAACTGAACTCTGATCCTCTAGACGAGTGGAAATCACCAAGCCATCTTCTCAGTGCTCATCAATCTACTCAAAGAGCATTTGGTGCAGGCTGGAAAGATAGCTCAGTGGTTAAAACTGGCTGTTCTTCGAAAGGAGCATGTTCAGTTCCCTGCACCCACATGGTGACTCACAACTGTCTCAGAGAATCCAACACCCTTTCTTGGCCTCTGTAGGCACCAGACACTCATGTAGTACACAGATACACATGCAGGCAAAACAGCCATATGCATTAAATAAGTAAAGATAGACAAGATGCCCTTTAGTAACTTAAATTTTAGATTTCTTTAACTATTTCTTCAATTCATTATTTCTTATATATTTTCTTATGCTTTTGTCACCATTAAGTAGAGATGTCTTTAATTCCAAAATATTGTAAACATGACATAGTTGAGAGACCACAGAATAGAGAAATGAAAGACAAGTCGGCTGATTTTGTGATACAATGGTTTGGCAGAAGTCTAGCCAGATGCATCTGGATTCAGATTAGGGCTTAAATTCCCTCATGTGTAAAATGGGGTCAGCTACTAATTTCACAGGTTTTAGTAAAAGCTGAATCAATATCAGTATATGGTTGATGTGCAACATGCATTTAGAACTCTGTGTGTGTGTGTATGTGTGTGTGTGTGTGTGTGTGTGTGTGTGTGTTGCATTAGTGGTTTACAGAGTCATTGATAAAGAATAAATAGAAGCTTTGTGACATTAGCTGTAAATATGTTGTGTCTGGAAAAGATTAAATACAGATTGACTTGCACTGAGGAGGCTGTGAACACCGGAAAGAAACAAACACTGGTTTTACCATTTCTGCATGTTATATTCCAGACTAAGGGCTGACAACATGGAATTTGAGTGATAATTTATCTGAGGGTGCAGAAGCTCAATTCAGAGGAAAAACAAAAGCCTGAATGCTAAAACCCCTTGCCTGGAAGACATAAACCATATCTACCCTACTCTGAAAGACCCCAAAACAAACTGAGGTATGATTCCTCCAAGGCCCACCCAGAAGATCCTATGAGTTCATTTTAATTATCCAGAGTCCTAAGGGCAGGAGCATGGGTGTGGTGGTTTGAATGTAATTGGCTCCCATAATCTCATAGGGAGTGGCATTAAGAAGTATGGCCTTGGCAGAGGAAGTGTGTCACTGTGGGGGTGGGCTTTGAGATCTCCTATGCTCAGGCTACTTTTAGTATCTCAATCTACTTCCTGTTGCTTTCAGATCAAGATGTAGAATTCTCAGCTCCTTCTCCAGTGCTGTCTGCCTACACACTGCCTTGTCCTATACTATGATGATAATTGACTAAACCTCTGAACTATAAGTCACTTCAATTAAATGTTTTCCTTTATAAGAGTTGCCATGGCCAGGCGGTGGTGGCGCACGCCTTTAATCCCAGCACTCGTGAGGCAGAGGCAGGCGGATCCCTGTGAGTTCGAGGCCAGCCTGGTCTACAAGAGCTAGTTCTGAGACCAGCACCAAAGCTACAGAGAAACCCTGTCTCGAAAAACCAAAAAAAAAAAAAAAAAAAAAAAAAAAAAAAAAAAAAGAGTTGCCATGGTCATGGTCTCTTCACAGCAATAAAACCCTGACTAAGATAATGGGTGACCAGGATCTAGGCTGCAACCTGTGGCCAGTTTAGCACACAAACGCCCTGTCACCACCAGGCCATACCAATATGAGAGGCCTATGATGACATTTAGGATCATGGTATCAAGGCTGCTGTTGAGGGCCATGTCTGGGTCCATGGCCTTACCACAGCCAGGGTCTGTGTTGATATCTGTGACTCATGATACTATCAAAGGCAATGTCAGAGGTCTGGGCCACTACCTGGGGCCATGTTGGGGTCCAACGGCCACTCTTCTATGGGGGCCATGCCAATTTGGGTGGCCTGTACTGCCACCTGGGGCCATGATGATGTCCAAGCCTGGGATGCTGACAGGGACCATGTCTGGTCCACGGTCCTCTCATGGTCCATGGTGTTGATGTTCATGTCCTGTGGTACCACCAAAGGCCACATGGATGCCTAGGATCTAGGCCAAATCCTGTGGCTATGTTGGTTTCCAAGGGCTGTGCTACCTCCAGGACCATGTTGATCTAGGTAGTCTAATTGTCACCTGGGGCCATAGCCTACAGCCAGTGTCTGTATTGATGTCCATGTGCTATGGTACAACCAAAGTCCACAAGGATGCCCAGGATCTAGGCTGTAACTTTAAAGCAGCAGGGATGTTGGTTCCCCTTATCCATCCCTACCTATATCCTCTAGCTCTTTCCCAATACTACATGAGATAGGGCATAATAACATACAACTGTTTGGGAAGGTGACTGACCACTCAGGTGAGGGTCCCATGACCCTCCCTTGTTGACTGGTTTCTGTGACCCTCCCTTGTTGACTGGTTTCTGTCCCACCAGGTCCCACAGTCATTTAGTTCCAAACAGACGCACAGAGGTCTACATTAAATATAAACCAATTGGCCTATTAGCTCTGGCTTCTTATTAACTCTTTAACTTATATTAGCCCATAATTTTTGTCAATGTTAGCCATGTGGCTGGTACCTTTTTTGGTGAGGCAGTCACATCTTGCTTCCTCTGTGGCTGGGTCACAACTCCAGACTGAGCTTTCCTCTCCCAGAATTCTCATTACCCCACCTCTACTTCCTGCCTAGCTGCTGGCTAATCAGCATTTTATTTAAATACGATTGACAGGGTACAAACCATTGTCCCACAACACTTCCTGCCCCCTCCTTTGAAGAAAAGTAAATAGTGAGTAAGCTTAGCTGTGAAACTCCTTTGTGAGCAGACCCAGAAGTAAAGGTAGCAGCAGCTTAACTTGAATCCTGTACAACAATCCTTCTACAGAAAACAAAGAACCTTCTCATGAATGGAGATATTGTGTGTCAGTCTCTAACTACTGCTTATTAAAATGTTTTATACCAGCTATGCATTGGGAGCAACGCCCTTGCATGACAAATGGGACACCAATTCTTGCTTGCCTCAAGTGTCTTTTCTCCTACCCACATCAGTGCAGTGCTGTCCTGAGTGTATCGCTGAAGACAATGACTCCTGAGTGCTGAACTCTGTGGCTCTGACTGCCTGGGCTCTTTAACAAAGGCCTAACCTGACTCTACTGTGGGGCTGAAGGAAATCTATGGGCAGTTTGTCAGCCAACTTCTAAATGTTTATTCATCTACTAAAGCGTGAAAGAAAGGAAAATTTTTGATTGGTCATTAAGTTCTTGGTATCAATAAAGGATTTAAATAAAACAATTGGTCTTCATGTAATTTAGGAAGCAAAAACTGAGAGTTAACCGTGACCCCTGGCTTTCTCATGCCTCACGAACTATCCACTGGACCATTGCAATAAGAGGACAGCTGGTCATCAAGCAAGACTCAAAGTGAGGAGCTCACCAAATGCTGAGCAGCACTCCTCCCCAAAGGGAGACACACATGGAGGAGGGAGGTCATTTACTTTATCCTCTGACCTATGATCAGACATCAGCCTCCTCCTCTGTTCCGCCTTTCCTTCATCTGTCTCTACATTCCAGCTGCCCTTTCTTTTTTTTTTAATAATTTTTTTTATTAAGAAAAGAAGAAAAAAAACATAAACAAAAAACAAGTTTCCACCTCCTCCCAGCCTCCCATTTCCCTCCCCCTCCTCCCACCCTTCTCCCCCTCCTCCCACCCTTCTACCCCTCCCCCCACTCCTCTCCCCCTCCCTCTCCAGTCCACAGAGCAGTCCAGGTTCCCGACCCTGTGGTAAGTCCTAGGTCCTCCCCCCTCCGTCCATATCTAGGAAGGTGAACATCCAAACTGGCTAGGCTTCCACAAAGCCAGCACATTAAGTAGGATCAAAACCCCGTGCCATTGTCCTTGGCGTCTCATCAGCCCTCATTGTTCGCCATGTTCAGAGAGTCCGGTTTTATCCCATGCTTTTTCGGTCACAGTCCAGCTGGCCTTGGTGAGCTC